CCCGCCCCCACCCTTCCCACATTCCAGTCTTTCACTGTCGCCCCAGGCAACTCGGCTGCCCAAGACCAAGCCCCACCAAGGAGAGGCTGGAGGGCCGGGCGGGAGTCCAGGCTGGGCAAGCAGGGAGGCACGAGGAAGAGGAGATATGGAGGAGAGGAGAGAGGCTGAACAGAGGAAGGAAGGATGGACTCTAGAAAGCAGACTCACCATGGGAGAGGCAAAGCCAGGTAGAAGCAGAGTGGGGAAGCAAGAGAGAAGCTGTGCCCCTCCAGACACTGAGTGGGGTCCCGACATCTGCTCTATGAGCAAATGAAGAGGCACAGCCTCTCCTCCTGCTCCCCACAGCACTTGTAAGTGCACAATTGGGCAGGGGAGGGGGCGCTCGAGTGGGGGGGCTGCACTCACCACAGGAGCAGCAAACAAAGCACTGGGTGTGGTAGAGGCTGTCCAAGGCCTGGCAGGCGTTGCTCTGCCCATAGATGCCTTTGTTGCACTTGATACAGGTGCCTGAGAGGAGAGAAGAGGTTGTCAGTGTCACACCCTACTCCCCTAGCTCAAAACCAGGAATTCCCAAGCTTTCCTGACTGCTCTTTCCTGATGTGCCAGAGGTCACAACCTCCCTCTGCTGGGCTCCCTTCTGGGAAGAGAAGAGAACAAGTGATGGGAGGCAGCGAGATCCTGGCCGAGCAGATCCATTCTTGTTTATTTGATTACTCAAAAGACACTTCCTGAATATCTATTCTGGGCCCAGCACAGTACCCACTACTGAGGAAATTGGAGAAAGTCAAAGATATGGTCCCTGAACTTCAGATAGTTTCTGATAGGAAGAAACGATTACACAGGCAAGGTATGATCCCTGTTGCAATGTATGGGACAAGAGGCAGAGATGCTGGTGCAGAGGGGCTCAGCAGCAGACTTGAAAAAACTTCCTAGAGAAAGCAGGCCAGGCCCAGAAAGCCTCCCCGGGCCTTTGGTTTCTTCATCGATAAAATGAGCTGCTGTTCAGTTGTAGAGTGGTTTCTCTCTGCTGCAGACTTCCAAGGATAGAGCGAAGGATGTGGCTCAGCAGAGGGCCCTGTGCAGAGGGGACCATGTGAGCATGACTCCTGTGGGAGGTGGCTGCTGAGAATGCAGGGTGTGTTCCAGGAACCAGGCTGCACAGGAAGGGGGGAAGGGTGGCAGAACCCCTAATGCCTCCCTGCCATCTGCTATCACGGGAGGGACACAGAACTGAACTGTTCTTCCCCAGCAATCCCCCCTAAGATACGTACACCTGGCTCTGGCACTCGCCTCTCCTGGGTGTGTTCTTCCCTCCCTCCACTCCCCAATTCCAGGCCCATGAGTGAGGGCCAGGGCTTGTCTTTGGGGAGCAGATCCCAACGGGCCCGCCCCACCTCTCCCCCTCGGCATACTGCCACACTCCCTGCCTGTCGGGGCCCATCCCAGTCTTTGCCCAGGGGCTTGGAGCCTGTGCAGCAGCTGCAGCAACTGATGGGCCCAGGCCTGTCCTGCTCCCACCCTCTGGCAGCTGGGCAAGGCTGAAGCCAAAGAGGGCCCCTACGAGGGGCAGGAGTAGGAGGGTACAGGCTGGGGCTGGGGGAACAAGGGGTGTGAAGGGTTCTGTCAAGGGAGGCAATCTGACCCGCAGGCAGGAGAGGCCCCCACCTCTGAATTCGAAATGCGGCCTCCTCATAGAAGCGAAAACCTGCCCCAAGACTGCCATGCTGGGGGGTCCTGTCAGAGCCATTCTTTGGGAAGCTTGGGACATTATGGGAAGACAGGAGGAAACTGCTCGGGCATGTCTGCCTCACCTCCTCTAATCTAGCATATCCACACCTAGCTTCTTCCTGCCATTTTATTGCACTTTCTCTGAGTTCTTTTCTTCCTTTTGGCTCTGATGGTTCAGCCAAAGAGATTTCTTTCCCAGCCACCTCTCCTGGGCCTCAAAAGGAAACTGCTAAAGGGGCCCTATCACTCAGTTTCCCTTGATCAAAGTGGTTTGGCATCACCTGCTCAGGGCTTTCCTCTCTCAGGGTGAGTTTTGGGGTGGGGGAGAAGAATGGGGAGGCGTTGGGGTTGAACTGCACAGGACCCTTCGGGCCTGCAACCCTGCTACCTCTGAACCTCCTCACCAACCATCCCTCCCTGGCTGTGTTCCTGTCCCTATTCACATGTGTAGTCATAGGGCTCTATAGCATGGGTCCAGGGCAGGGACATGGGTGGGGAGAGGATGCTTGGAAAACTGAAGAGGCCCGCAGCTCCGAGTGGGGGTGGGGGGAGGAGGGATGAGCTCTCCATTTCTTTCCGATCACATCAGATGAGCATTTCTTTATATAGTGAAGTAGCGCCTGTGGGTTTTGGCAAAAAGATCATTCAAGGCCCCAATGTCCCCCATAGCTGAGACATATAATCAACCAATACTTCTTGAACAGAGTGAGGGAGGGAGACAGCGACTAGGTTTCCTTAACAGCAGCAGGAAGTAAGGGGCTGCTTCTAGTCTGAATTCTGAGGCCACGTTATTCTGGCAGTTGCACAGGATCGTTATCCATCCAGGGATGACGGTGTCCCCGTGGTCATGGCTTTTACCCTGACTTCCGGAGGATGGCGAAAATAGACTGGGGCTACCGGGTCTCTGCCCAGATGCCCACGCACGCACCTAGCCAGCAGGACCGGGGCGGGGCAGCGGTTGGGTCCCAGCTCGCCAGCCCGAGGCGCTCCCTCCTCCCCCCTAGGCGAGTGTGAGCAAGCGCCC